ATCCTAGGCCAGGAAAAAGACCTTAGAATGATTAAGCTTTATTCACAGAAAAGCACTGTCAGGAATGAAGAACGATTGTCAAATGTGTTAAGGATTCCATAGGAAAAATGAAATTATCCCTCAGGTCATTATTGCATCAGGGCATGGACCTCAAATGGATCTGTGGGAAGGTTTTCCTCCCTGTGATACCAGTAATATCAGGTTAGGACCCTGTCACAGGTCCCACTCTGTAGTCAGCTGTGGGCCCTGCCCTTCCTGAGCCCCAGAAGTCAGCTGCATTTCCCAGGGTCACCAAACTAGTAATACTGTGGAGCCAGCGTTAGCAGTCTCAGTTTCTGCCACTGAACCCCTTGTTTTACCTGCTGTACTTTGCTGCTGCTTGTAAAAGTTATAGATAAAAGCCAAATGATTTAGTATATATTTACAAACTCTACCAGACTGCATTACTGTTGCTAAATGTATAGAATGAGAACTGAGAACTGACATGAGTTGTACCTTCTGTCTGCTCTACTTGTCTTTCAATAAGCAGCCAAAAAAAGTATGAGGACAATAGAAGCAAAAGTATACATAGTAATTCCCACTTACAAGTGCCTATTAGGCTAAACGCTTTACATACCCTATACATAAACTTCACAGCTATTCTGCAAGAGAGTGATATCATTAACCCCATCTTACAGGTAGGAAAACTGAGGCTCAGAGATGAAGTGACAGAACTAAATTCAAATATGGGTATGTTGAAACCCAAAGCGTATGTTTTCTTATCACATTTAAAACCTTTTATTCGTCTATAAACTAAGTCATTTCTGATTAGTCAATACTTTCTTGTATCTGTTCATTCAAAGCATGTATTTCCATGAAAGTTTTCCACTACACAATCCTTTGAGTTTTTTTCATATCTTAGTTTCAGAACCAGAAACCATGGTTACCCTGCTAAAAAATGCAGACAGAAAGAACCATTATAGTTCATTCGTTCATCTGCTTTTGAAACTTTCTCTGCAGATGTGTTATCTTTCTGCTCTTCCATTACACTCATTCTGAGCAGTGTGGCACCCTGTTCCTATCAGTTTGGATCTACTTTTCAAGTTTAAAAAAAATTCTGTTGATTATCAATATAAATGTCATCCAACAGACCCTTTTTCTCATCTCATCCCATGTTGTCAGTCCAGCTGTTCCCTTTACCCTGAACATCATTTATAGCACTCAACGAATGCTTTGTAGTGTGACAAGACTCTTGTGTTAGCAAGTCACTCTCCTTCATGCCATTCACCCACCAGTGTCATCTAAAGCAGTGTTAATGCTGTGCTGCTTAACACCGTTCTTGTGGAATTTCCACACTTAAAAAAATAAATCTTCAAAGCATCTTTTAGAGATAAGTATCCATACCTACTAGATGTATCAAATGACTTGTCTCAAATTCTGTAGCAGGTAATAATTCCTTACTACGATTCCATACGCCCAGTGACACATAACGAAGAATACCGATGATTACGGGAAAGATTTATGAGCTTCTTGAATATGTAAATTTATGTCTTTCAATTTGATGAAAGGACACGTTTGTATATTCAAGAAACATATTGAATATTTTGTGGTCCATATAGTACTTTGGATGGTGATGGTGGGGTATTGTATAAGGAAGCAGGAAGCCTTAATTATTTAATAGTTTACATATATGCTAATTAATTGAAGTAGCACAAAGGAGTTAGATGTACTCTATCTACAAACTACTGTTTAATCACATTGAAGATTTTTCCTGATATATACTGGAGATACAAAGTAAAGCAGTGCAGAAACTATAGTGTCTCTGTCAGTGCAGTTCAGAATGATTGAAATTTATATAAATTGTCAATCTTTATTGAGTCAGAAAACATTTCAGAAAACATTTCAAACACTTTATATGTACTGTGTAATTTTTCCCTCATAATAACACTAGGAAGTGGGTCCTATATTTATCCCATTTAACAATTGAGGAAACTGGCTTGTAAAGTTCTGACTCTTGGTTGGTTTGAATGTTAACTGGCAGGTCAAGTTAAGCTATCGAGGACATGAGGAATTGAATTCAGATCTGATTCCAGTGCCCTTGACTCTTGACCAACATTTGTACTGTACCAATATTTATGGCCTAAGATAAAAAAAAAAAAGAAAAACTAATTTACATTACTCATGAAAAGGTTATCTAAGGGTGAGATTAATTTATAGGAAAAAAAGATGTTATTTCTTTTAATTGCTTCAGATTTCTTGTGTTAAAATTAGGTTCAACTGCTAACACCAAATATCCACTTATAGTGGCTTCACCCCGTAGAGATTTTATCAGCAACCCTACACGTCCATTCAGGGTCCTGGCTCCCTCTAGCTTTTGGCTATACTTTGCTGAGCTTGTCACTTTTGTCTTGCGAGCTTGTCATCTTACAACCATGTCCACATCACATGCAGGACGAAGGGAAAGGAGAATGCCAACTGTAGTTTTAAAGAGCTTCCCATAAATCTCATTCAGTGCTAGTGTGTCATTGACCAGACAGAACTAGATCACAAGCTACCCATGGCTGCAAGAAAGCTGCAAAACTGAGGGATTTTTGTTGTTGTTTTTTAATGTTACTGGTATTTTAAAACAGTCTTAGGTTTACAGAAAGATTTCCAAGATAGCACAGAAAGTTTCCCCGTAACCCACATGTAGTTTCCCCTAGTATGGCTTGTTTCTTTCAATTAATGAACCAATATTGACACATTATTAACTACAGCATTGACACAGTATTAACTACAGTCCAGTTCAGATTTCCTTAGTTTTTATCTAGTGTCCTTTTTCCCTGGGGTACCACATCACATTTAGTCATGTCTCCATAGGCTCCTCTTGGCTGTGAGAGTACCTGAACTTACTTTTTTTAATGATCTTGACACTTTGAGGCGTACTGGTCAGATCTTTTGTAAGATGTCTCTCAGTTGGATTTTGTCATGTATTTTTCTCATGATTAGCCTTGGGTTATGGTTTGGGGAGTGAATGCCATTTTCATCCCATCATATCAAGGTAAATACTATCCACATGACTTCTCGCCGTTCATGGTACGATCACCTGGCTGAGGTGGTATCTGTCAGGCTTCTCCACTACCGTAAGGGTATTGCTCCTTTTACTCGTTGTCCACTGCATCTTTTAAAAGGAAGTCACTATGGAGAGAATCCCTCTTTAAGGAGTGGAGAATTAGAGTTCACTTCATGGTGGGTGGGATATTTACAAAAATTATTGGGAAGATTTGTCTCTTCTCCCTTATTTATTTATTGATTCAATCATTTATTTATATCAATATGGACTCATTAATTTTACACATTGGGTTACAATCTAATACTGCTGCATTCTGTTGCTCAGATTTCTTTTAGTGTTGGCCACTGGGAGTTCTTTAAGTAGGCTCTTCTGTTCCTTTGACATACCCCCATGATTTGGGGTTTTTATTTATTGGTTTATTATTTTTTTAGCACTTCCTTAAGTTCTGGCACTACAAGTTGCTCCAGACTCATCTTGTATGTATTTCTACCTCTAGTCCTGGAATCAGCCATTTCTCCAAGGAACTCTTGCTCTGTTTATTGGGGAGTGGTATTAGGACACAAGATCGGGGTGCTAGCTCTGCTGTTGCTACTGGAATATCCTTGTTTCCAGACTCTCTCAGCTGACAGAGCAAGGACATATGTGTGTGTATAATAACCAATGTCTATACATATAACTATGCTTATTTCTTTAACCATCTGTATCTATAGTAAACTGAACATGAGTTTATACTAATGTCTCTGATTGTAATCTGTTACCACATTGATGATTGTAGCCTCTTTCCCTTGCTTATCTATAATGTCCACTCCAACAGGAAAAACCTTGCTCTCACCATACATTTATTTATTTATTATTACCTACCAGGAATAAATGAGAGTTCCTTTTGTTCCACTTCCTCACCAACAATTGGTATATCCAGTTATTTTTTTATTTTAGTTATTTTAATAGGTGTGAAGTGGTATCTCATATTTTTTAATTTGTAATTCCTTAGTGACAAATGATGTTGAACATCTTTTTATTTGATTATTTTCCATCTGTGTATATCTTCTTTGGTGAGGTGTCTGTTCAGATATTTTGCCCATTTTCTAATTGGGTTATTGATCTTTTCAAGGACAAGTTTTTGGTTTTGTTAATTTTCTCTTTTGTTTTTGTAAAATGAGTTTTTAACTGTGTATTTGCCATCCCAAACACACTGAAGGAGGAGGAAACTGATCTGTAGACAGCATTATCAGCTGCAGTCCTTGTTTAGTGGACCTTGTATAGGTGAGGTGGATCAGGCTGTGTCTTTATTCTCTGGTGTGGACACCCTTTTCTGTACTTATTTCTTCAAATAGAACTTACACATTTTCTCAGGTTTTTGCTTAAGTTGAACCATTCTTGATATAGCCACTTCCTTTCTTCCTCTCTGACTTGAAGTCTCGTGTTTTACATTAGAAATACATAGATATGTTGAATTCTACTTTAGAAAGTGCTTGTATTTATTTAAGAATGCTATTTTATATTACCATGTAGGTGATACATTATTTGGGAAAGTACAATTTATTTTCTGTCTGGTGGAACTGTGGCATTTGCTTTGGTCTCTGGCTTTGCTCTCTAAGCCTCAGTTTCCTTGTCCATAGAAAAGCAAGGTAAGTCCCACTTGATGGTGTGATCCTGGCATGGTATCATGTGGAAGTCAACAGTGCACGCAGCCTCTCCAGATGTCATAGCTTCCTGCTATGCATACTAGCCAGAAATTAAGTCTGAATTTCTTTGATATTGTTGTTGCTGGACTAACTGCCTGAATGACTTAACTTCCTTTTGGTAGATAACTGTTTCTTGTTTGCTTTAGTTCTCACTTTGCTTATGATTTCCTTATTCCTTTTTACAGAAATACAGCACATTGATTTTTATGAGGTTTAAACATATATGAATAATGGAATGTTAGAGAATATGATGAATATTGCTAATTTGACCCTCTTGCTTGCAGGGGAAGGGGAGGAGTCACAGCCCGGCCCGTTGGAGTTGGTGTCCCCCGAGGGACACCAACTCCCAGGGGAGTCCTATCTACCAGAGGGCCAGTGAGTCGGGGAAGAGGACTTCTCACTCCGAGAGCAAGAGGAGTCCCCCCAACTGGATACAGACCTCCACCGCCACCCCCAACACAAGAAACCTATGGAGAGTATGTAAGTGAAAGTATCAAACAGTGGCACTGGACATTGTAACCAAGTACCCTCCCTCACCTCATTTTAGCTCTTGAATAATTCTCCCTTAGTTCAGCAAACATTTATTGGATGCTAAATAAGTACTTAGTACTAGAGGTACAAAAATGACATGACCTCTTTTTTCAAACAGTTTAAATCTAAGGTATGGGAGAAAAATTTGAGTGGTGGGGAGGTGCAAGGCTGGGGTCCAGGAGACGTGTTATCAAGCTCTTATAAGAGTTTAACATAACATTCTTTCATATGCTACTCTTCTGAATACTTCAGTCATTTAAAAAATAATTGCCTGCATATACCAAGATGGTTTCACCCTTAAGTGTTCCCTCTTAAACTATGCTGCTGAGTGTAGATTTTTGATGGAATTCTCAGGGAAGAAGACAAAAGTTCTTTTTTTTTTTCCAGTTGATACAGATCAGTGAGCTTTTTTATTTACCATTCAGTGTTTCTTTGAATGGTTCATAGACTGATTAAACATAAGAGAAGGAACCATGAAAATTGAGAGAGAAAGAAATTCTTTAAGAATATAACCCACCCTGGGATTCTTACTGTAATATCTTAGTTTACCACAAATGAAGAAAATAAGATGCAATGGATAAAGGATTCATATTAGTAACTGAAAATATTAAAGTAAGAGTATATCAGCTGTTTTCAGTGACAGGAATAAAATGCAAAAACCAATAGATTTTCATGTTTTACTTTAATGGCACTCTCTTGCTCAGTATCTTTTTTGCATAGTTTCTAAAGATTGCAGTAATCCCTGGGCCACAGACAACATCTTCTGCTTCATCTGTAGCCACTGGAAAGATCAAAATCTTTGTCTTGGACATACTGAACTTTTTGTAATTCCCTGACCAGGCCGTGTTTTCTTAATGCTTGCAGACTTTTTCTCATGCTGCCTGCTCAGGCTAAAATGATCTTCTCATGTTTTGTGTGAGTTTCTCCTATTCATCCTTCTAGACTTAGGTCAACTATTGCTAGGTAAATTCAGAGGAGGTAATAGCTTACCTATTGAACATTACTACAGTTGTTATATTTCTCTCCCACCTAGACTGTGACCTTCTGGACAGGGGGGATGGATAACTATTATATCTTTATACTTGGCAAAGATTACATACTTGGAGCTCAGTGAATTACATTTAATGAATAAATCCCACAGTAAACAGTCACCATTTTGTTATTCAGTCGAGGAAGGATGTGGCCCCATCTCTTCTCTTTTTATTCATTACAGTTTGACTTGTTCCTATTTCCTAATATTCTTATCAAACTTAAAATAATCATTCCTTGAGCTCTTCCACAAATGCTGAGTCTCCTAAAAGTAGCAGAGACTATGAAGGTGAGGAAATGTTAAATTCCTTTTAGGTCAGTCCCGTGTCTGTTTATTTCCACCTCGGCTTATGTTGATTTCTCTTAGGTTTGGATTTAACGTAGATGTGGCTGGATGATGCCGTGGAAATTGCCAGGCAGAGAGTGTAGGAAACCTGGATCCTAGTCTCCATTTTACCGTAAATTTTAGTATCAGTCAGACAAGGTGTTTTAACCTTTTTGGCTTCACAATCCACTTATTTCAGAAAGAGCTGTTGCCTTCTTTACCTGTAATTCATCTTTCCTCTCAATAAAGATTGACTGAATTTCTGCCGTGTGAACCAGGCACGCATATTCTCTGTATCAGCATGTATACACTAGTGAGTCTGGAAAGAAATTACATAGATGAGTAAAAATAAAAATTATTTGAAAGGTTAAAGTCCAAGGAAGGAAAAGCAAAAGGAAGACATTTGGTTCTGCTACTTGTTGCTCTGATTTTTTTGATAAATGATTGGAAAGGCATTGAAACAATTGAATCGCAGAGTATTCTGTTGAGTTAATTTACTCCCCTTTCCATCCACTCAAGGATGATGGCACTGTAGAAGAATGCCTGAGTCCTTTCAGGAGCAGACAAAAGTCTGAGAGCTCCTAAGGGGGAAGGCAGCCTGCACTGCTTCTGTCCCATGCTCACTGCACTTGGCATGCTTCCAGGCACTGGCTGACGCTGCAGCTGTGGTTTCAACACAAGCCAATACTCTTTTGGTCACACCATAGTGTTACCTTCAAATAACTGTTGGCTACATCTGCCATCATCGTTTCAATTTGGCTGAAATGCAGCATTTGCAATTTCATCAACTTCATACAGTAATAACTCTTGCACACATAAAATGGCTGTGTGCTTTCCAGATATGCTCTGGGAGTATAGTGGGACACGAGAGAAAAAAAATGTTATCACGATATACCTCTTTCCCCAAGTTGAATTACTGTCATTAAGGACTCGCATTATAAATGTTATAACTTTTCCACTTAACTTAGTATCTATTATTCCTGAGAATACCTTTTAAGATTTTAACTAAATTTCCTCATTTAGCCTAGCATTTTGTAAGCCCTCTTGATACAATTATAGTGAAAGCTTCAGGAGCTGAACACTGTATATAACAAACTATTGCTGGTAGTTGGTATAAGGAGTAGATAAAGCCCCTCTCCTCACCTACAGTGGCCACCATTAGTAACACTGCCTCTCAGGTATGCTCTTCTGACGTTATCTTCTCCCCTGACCCAATTTTAATTGAATTTCCTGCTTCTAGCCTCTCTGGTACAGCTTTGCAGTCTCTGGGATACTTCCCCAGACGTTGGCCATTGGTCTTCACTGTTTGAAATTCTAAAGATCACTCACACACCACACTTATGTTTGTAGCATGGGAAGAGGGAGGAAAGTATAGTCTGCTTTTAAATTTTTTGTCTGTTTCTTTCTTCCTAGAATTTTAGATAGGGTGGGTGCACTATAAGATATCAAACTTAAAAAGCAAAGAATCCTATAACACAAAGAAATGGTTATTCATTCATGTATCAAGGAGAATAGTTGGTCTTCTTAGAATATACTAAAATAATTATAACAATGAACTGGAATAGTCATAAATTAGATTCTAAATTCCATGGCAGTGGGGACGGACTCCTCCCCCCAATTCACCTTTTTATTTTCAGCAACTAGTATGATGTCTGGCACACAATAGGTCTTTTGTAAATATTTGGTAAATGAATGGATGAATGGATATTTTTAAGACTGAGCTTTTAAAAATTGCCATCTGTGGAGAACCGGGCACAGATACTTCTGTATGACTTTTCAGTTTTATTCACATATCAATTTTCATATGACATAATTATTAGCATATAGCTATATGTACAACCATTTTTTGGCATTGTCTATTTTTCAGGTTATTAACTTCTAGGAAGAAATACTGTATTTCTTAATTAGTTTAATCTTTAGACACTAGCATAGTTTTTGGCACATCATAAGCACTTAGTAAATGTTCGCCAGACTAAATAACCCTAAACAGAGACTTGATAAGCTGTTCTAATGAAGGTTACCATTGATTTTTTTTCCCAAGTCATTATTAAAACCATCTGGTGGGAAGAAATGTGATAGTTGGCATTTGAAAGAATAACTCCCCTAAGTTGTTTTCTAGTGCTCAAAGGGCAGTCACAGGTTATAAAGGAATAAGACTAATTTTGTGTAGCTCCTAAAGGAAACAGAGTAACATACTGTAAATCTCATTGCAGTATGAAAAGGAACTTCCAAGAAGGACGTAATATTTCATGAGAAACCGCTCTCCACAAGGCACTTTCATGTATGTCATGTTATTCTCACAACCATGCAGCGACGTAGTATGGTCTGCATCATACAAGTGAGAATTTAAGATCTGGGAAGTTAAGTGTCTGGCCCAAAGTAAAGAAGGAGCAGATTCAGGATTTAACATTCAAGGCCTATTTTCTATCTTAAAAAATCACTGCTTTATTTAAAAATAAAAAAGAATGTTCCACCAGCTGAGATTATAATAAAATCTCTTCAGTTTAAGAGAAAGTGCAGCAGATAATGCATATTCACCTTAACAGGAATGCCATGAAAGGGATAATAGGACACTGAATTAAATGATATCTGTGTGTCCCTTGCAATTCACTAATTCTGTGGTTTTTAACCTACTCTAAGTAGGTAAATGGAAATGGAGAACTTTTAGAAAGAATGGGATAACATGGCATCAGGATTAAAACAACAACACCAACAACAACAAAATGAGCAAACCTCTACTATTACATTGGTTAACGGGGAAAAAAAACAGACTCTAAAATAATTCAAAAAGTTTATTCTGTGCCAAATGTGTGTGACCAGCCCAGAGTACATAGCCTCAAGAGATCCTGAGAAAATGTGCCCTCGGTAGCTGGGTTACAGTTTGGTTTATACATTCAGGGAGATGGGAGTTACACGTGATATCCTAAGTCAGTATGTGGAGGGTATGAATGGGTTTGGCCCAAAAGGGCGGGACATCTCTAAGCTGAGAGTTATAGTTTATAGGTGGGATTTAAAGATTTTTTGATTTGTAATTGGTTAAAGAAATGAAGGTTATCTAAAGGCTTGGAATGTTTTAACTTAAAATAAGGATGTCTGTTAATCCCAGACAGGCTACTGAAACTCAGGTAATCTGTTGAGTAAATTGATGGCCTGCAGGTGTGGTTTAAGCTGTGTGTTGTTTAGCCTTAGGCCTGTTAATGAGTTACAAAGGGTATCTCCAAGAAGGGAAGGGGGCATGAGGAGGAGCCATGTCTGATCTCCTTCCTCATGGCCAGCAACTCAGCTTTAGGGTATATCTGGGATCACCTTGGCCAACGGGGGATCTATTCATTCAGCTGGGGGGCTTAAGGTTTTATTTTAGTTCACACATTTATTGGAAAAAATAAAAGCAGCATTTTCAAGCATCTATATCTCTGAGAAGGGCCTGTCATTCCTTTGGAACTCAGAAATGTAATTTTTAAAGATCTCCTTGGAATATATTTATAGTGATAAAGGTTTGATTTCTATAGAGCTTGTTCGATTATAACTAACTCATTTTAACTTTCATTTAATATTTACTATTTGAGGCTATTATTTCCAGAATAAAGGATGAGAA